AAACAACCCACCAGCGATGTCTTAGGAGAAATACAGCAGACTTTTCAAGCTTCATGAATATCTCTCAGACTCAATCTGAGAAAACCAAGAATTTGGCTGGGGCTGAAGTTCTGCCCTTGAATGCTGAAGGGAAATAGATGAATAGGGAGTGAATGAACACCTGTCTGAAATGCCTGCTCATCTCCCTGCTGTCGTCCCAAGGCAGCTCTCAGAAAATGTTCTTTGTTCTCAATCAGGGCAGTCTTCTTGGAGGAAGTGAATCTCGAAGGAGAAGGACATGAATTGAGAGAGGAAGTCTCAGAGGAAGCTTCAAACCTGAAGGTAGAACTGACCTGCTTTGACAGGGACATGTGTGGTGCTGAGAATCTGGGAGGGATGATGAGGAAGACAAAATGGTACAGCTGAGGGTGACAACTTTTGGGGTAATTGAGGACACTTCATGTGCTGAGGATGGACCTGTCGATGAGAGCCCACCAATGAATCTTCCATGTCTTAAAAATGTTTAGGCTGGGCGTGGTGGCTCATGCCTATAATCCTAGCATTATAGGAGGCCGAGGCAGGTGGATTGCTTGAGCTCAGGAGTTCAGTACCAGCCTAGGCAAAATAGGGAGACCCCATCTCTACAAAAAAAAAAAAAATTTGCCAGGCTTGGTGGTGCATGCCTATAGTCCCAGCTACTCAGGAGGCTGAAGTGGAAGGATCACTTAAGCCCAGGAGGTTGAGGCTGCAGTGAGCTGTGTTTGCACCACTGCACTCCAGCCTAGGTGACAGAGTGAGACCCTGTCCACCCCCCCAAAAAAAAATGTTTAGAGCACCAGAGTGGTGACTGTAGGCTCAAATGTAGAACAAAGTCACCTTGAGAATTTTTAGATAACTTTTTTTTTCTGAATATGAAGCGAATATTTATGCCTAAAGTAGAAAATACAAAATATAAAGAGAAGGCAGACATTCTCAGAAATAGCCTTTAATTATTTTGCTCTCTGATAAGAAGGTCATTCTGTATTTATAGTTTTATAGTCTGCTTTTTATACTTAATATCATTTTTTTCTGCAAAAACAATTTGTAATGGCTGCATAATATTCCATCTGTAGATATTCCAGAAGGCATTTGACCAGTCTTTTATCTAACGTATATAAGGTGCTTATGGTGATGTGCCAGATGCTGTGAGAAGTGCTGAATGCCAGAGAGTCCCTTCCCTGAAGGAGCTCAGTGTCAAATGGGCAGAAGTAGGCAGGTAAACAAGCAAGTCTTCCTCAGAACAAAAACACAACCACAGAGAGAAGCCCACAGGCTTGGGAATTACAGAGACACACACCCAATGGAGCCTTGAAGGAGGGAAGGTCAGGGAAGGAAGCGCATCTGTCATGAAATTTTTTTCTTTTTAAAATAAAGTTGTTGTGGACATCTTTAGGCATCAATCTATGTCCACATTTCTTTTTTATTTTTCTTTTGTTTTGAGATGGGGTCTCACTCTGTCACCCAGGCTGTAGTGCATGCAGTGGTGCCATCTCAACTCACTGCAACCTACATTCCCTGAATTCAAGAGATCCTCCCTCCTCAGCATCCTAAGTAGCTGAGACCACAGATGCATGCAATCATGCCCAGCTATGTTTCTGTTTGTCTGTTTTTGTACGTTTGGTAGAGACGGGGTTTCGCCGTGTTGTCCAGGCTGCTCTCGAACTCCTGAGCTCAAGCAATCCACCCACTTTGACCACCCAAAGTGCTGGGATTGTAGGCGTGGGCCACCATGCCTGGCCTATGTCCACATGTCTGACCTATCCTTAAGATAATAATTCCAAAAAGTGGAACATGAGTATAACTTACCTGATATTTTTAGCAAAAATCATCCTTGCCCAATTATACACATCGTTAATTATTAACATTAGCATATACAAGTGACTAACCACCCATCTTTCCTTAAAGTTGCATTTGCCTAAATCTTGATGGGGGTCAGGTCTGGATCTCTTTTTTTCTGACTGGTCACTGCTCCAATGTCACCTCATCAGAGAGGCCCTCCCTACCCCCCTAAAATAAAAAAGCAACTTTAGCCTCGACCCACCTCCAGATTCCCCATATCAATACCTTCCTTC